GAACAATAATAAAAATCATCCTTTCAGAATAATTATGTATTGTTCTAATAGAACTATTGTTCTAAAAAAATGATGAAGTATCATTCTGAAAAAACAATAAAAAATATCATTCTTTTTGGAACGATGATGAATTATTCTAAAAAAAACAATTAAAAATCATTCTTTTAGAATAATGATATATTGTTCTAAAAAGAACAATAAAAAAATATCATTCTTTTAGAACGATGAAGTATTATTTTAAAAGAATGATAAAAAAACATTGTTCTTTTCAGAATGATTTCAAAAGAATGATAAAAAAATTATTCTTTCAGAATAATGATGTATTGTTCTAATAGAATGATAAAAAATCATTATTCTGAAAGAACAATAAAATATTATTCTAAAAAAATAATAAAAAAACCATTATTTTTTCAGAATGATGATGAATTGTTTCAAAAAAATGATAAAAAATTTATTCTTTCAAAACAATGATGTATCGTTCTGAAAGAGTAATAAAAAAAATATTGTTCTTTAGAATGATAAAGTATTATTCCTTAAAAACAATAAAAAAATTATTGGTCTTTCAGTATAATGATGTATTGTTTCTTAAAATGATGAAAAAATATTATTCTTTTAAAACAATAATTGAATCATTCCTTTAGGAACAATTTTAATATCTCTTTGAGAGTAATAGCTTGTTCTTTTAGGAATAATTTCTATCATTTCTTTTAGAACAATTATATCATTCTTTTTAAAATGATTTCTATCATCTCTTTGAGAACGAATGTATCATTCCTTTTGAAATGATTTCTATTGTCTTTTTTGAGATGATTGTATTGTTCCTTTGGGGACGAATGTATCATTTCTTTTAAGATAATTTCTATTATCTCTTTGAGAAAAATTTTTATAATTTTTGCAAAATTCAGCTCAATAGATTTTGACCAGTAAGATACAGTTGATTTGTTGCCAAATCTTGAGTCTAACTAAATTTTACTGAATATTGTAACCAAAAGTTTTTAATGCTGAAATAATGTTAAATTATGTGTGATGTAACAAATTACTATTGATTTTGTAACTTAAGCTAAATTTTTTCTGAATCTTATGACTGAATTAGCTGAATGTTTGATGAAAAATCTAATGTCAAAATAATGCTAAATTATATGTGATATAACAAATGACTAGTGATTTTTGTAATTTAAGTCAAATTACATGACTGAATCAGTTGAATATTTACCAAAAAGTATTAGTGCCGAAAGAAATAATTTCAACTAGTGTTCAGTTATATATTTGAAATTACCCTTTATAGTGAAGTCAAATAGCTTATCAGCTTTTCATTTAAGAGTATTTAATTGTTGCATTATTTACTTCTCTAAACTCACTCTTAAATCTAAAAAAGAATTAGAGATTGTTAAATTATTTATATTACCATTCAGATATTGTAAAGATAAAAACCACTCATCTCTTTCTGATTTTTCTTTTGAGTATTATATAACTGACATATCTTCTGCATTGCTGATGAAAGTTTTAACAATAGTTTATAATATGTTTTCAGCTAGCCTATTATTTATCAGTTTCTGTTTTTTTTTACTGATATATAATATTATACATTTTATTCTAGTTTATCATAACCATTTTTATTATATTTCTCATTATCAAAATCTGAAGGCATGAATTGGGATTATAGGTGTAAAAGGTTTAAAATAAAACCTATTAAAATTAGATTATGCAATCAACTTATTAGAACAACTGACTTTACTATAACCTGTTTTTTCACAAATACTACATTTATGTATATATGCATATTTTTGAATTGGTTAGTTATTTGATTTACTGTATCATGTATTTTATTAACATTTTCGTAAATCTTACTTCCATTTTATTAATCTTGGTAAAAATATTGGATTGCTATGAATGAGACCTTTAAAAAGGTTTTCAGTCTAAATCTTTCTTATTAAGTATATCTATATTTTTTAAGAACTTAACTACAAAATAATTTTTTATACCTTTATCTGTCTTCAATGAAGATAATAGTCCTCTTGGCTATCTAACTGGTTCAACTAAGGTCTCTAAATATATATATAAAATATTTGTCATACACTTAGGTTAAAATTTTTATGAGTTTTATCATACAGTTACCTAAATTTTCTTTTTTGATAGCAGTGTAACTTGACCTATAATGTATACTTAATTATTACTATCGAAATATGATTATTATACAGTTACTATTTTAAGTAACTGAAAAATACCAATACTGCAAGAACTTTTAAAAGATATCAAGTTAAAAAAAATTGATAATTGATATATTTATTATCATTATTGTGATACTGGATATCATATTACTTTATATTAAGAAAATAATGACTATTGATTATGGTAATATCTTAAAATAAGTATGCATAAAAATAATATGATACATGAATAAACTAATCCTTCCAAAAGGAGTTGTATTTTGAAATAAAATAAAAAAAAAAATTTCAAATAAGAAAGCATGTTCAAATCTATCAATTAAAGTTAATCTTAAAATGAATTAATTCAAAAATATTAGATAATATTATTTTTAATTTTTATTTTAGTATATCACAGTTATTATTTTAAATCCTTTGCAGTATTTGCATGATATAAGATATTAACAGTTAATTATAAAATACTACATGATGATGATTTTGTTGATAAAAATGTAAAGACAATATGTAAGATTGCTTATTTAAACTCATTTTAGATTTGGCTAAACATTTAAACCTTTAGTTTCACTAAATTTTTACTAAGTGTTTGATATAGTTTCGCTATTTTTATAAGCTTTGATATAGTATTACCTTTTCTAAATTTTGCAGATTTTTTAATAAGGTTTTAATATAATTTAACCAAGTTTTACCTTTATCATTTAGACGTCTGTCTAAACTCTGGATTTTATTCAGCAACTTTAGGCATATAGATATATTCAAAGTAATCAATGTAAAGAATATATAACATTTAAATATTGTTTTTAATACAGTAAACTAGTGAAATTAGAACATATACAAAAAAGAAATCAACATTACCGTATAGCACTGACATTAGTACTGGATAGGGATAGTAACAGTCGGTCATGATCAGTTCACGATCGGTTGACCGACCGGTTTTGCTGACCGGCTCATTTAACAATAATGTAATTTAAAGTTCTTGATTGATAATTTTAATTTATGCTTTAAATAATGCTAACATGGCATTTGCTAAAACTTACTATTTTACTTACTTACTTATTTCTTAGTTTACTTTCATATTTTTAGTGATGCAGCTTATCGCAATCTTTTTTTTAAGAATAAATTAAAAATTTTTATTTATAAAAAATAACATCATCACTAAAATTATTGTAAATTAAAGCATAAATTACTAATTAAAAAATGTTGGTCAACCGGTCGGTCAAAATCAGTCAAAATCAGTCAGTCAGAAACCTTTAACCGACTGATATCAGTCACGGTTATGAATGGTTATGACTGGTCATAACCGTAACCATTAGCATTCCTAGTACCAGATACTATTTAAGCAAATCTAAGCTAATTTTGAATAGTATCTGGGGGTACTACATTTGGAGAAAAGTATTATATAAGGGGGATATTACACAACGGAAATACAATAAAAGGGATATTAATCATAATTATCAATCATTTTTTTTACTTTCAAATTTTTAATATTCCTTTGAAATAAAGCCATAATATGTTATATGATATGAATGACACGAATTTCACGAATGACGCAAATTTCGTAGATAATGCGATCAGAATTTTATTTATTTTACTTTTGGTCTTTTTTTTTGACTTTAAACCTTTTTTGGTTTTTTTTTTGTCTTTATAATCACAACATAAATTTGCTATTTCTTTACAACTTTGTCATAAGTAATATGGGTCCACGCGCAAATAAAAATACCAACTGTGCAAGAATATCAGAAAAAGTACGAAGAGTATGGAATATAAGAGAAAAACTTGCTGTTATTATGTATCATGAAAAGGGATATAGTAAAAATGGAACAGCAGCTAAATTTAATATTGAAACCAAACAAGTTCGCGATTGGGTATCTAAAAAAAACAATTTATAAAAGCACAACCTAGTTTAAAACGTTTAAATAAAGGTAAAGCTCCAAAATATCTAGCTTTAGAGGTAGCTTTAGTTGAGTGGATAAAGGAAAGAAGAAGTAACCAGCAAGCAGTTTCTCGAAATATGATTCAAGTAAAAGCAAAAACTTTAGCACAACAACCACATTAGCAAGCATCCTGTCCTAATGTACAATCTTTGCTTTTAGTAACAAACGGTTGAATGGTTTAATGAGCCATAATAACTTAAGTAATTATAGTTGTACTACCATCGCTCAGCATTTACCAAACAATTTATATGAAAAATAACAAGAATTTTTAGCATTTGTTATGTATAGACGAATACAACATGATTATCCCTTAGAATTTATTGGTAATATGAATGAAACTCCATTGACATTTGATTTACCAAATAATACCACTGTTAATGAAATGGGAGCAAAACTATTAGTATTCGTACAACAGGTCATGAAAAAACTAATTTTACAGTAGTTTTAACTTGTATGGCAGATGGAACTAAACTTCCTCCTCTTGTAATTTTTAAACTTAAAAAAATTCCAAAAGGAAATTTTCCACAAGAAGTTATTGTTCGTGCTAATCCAACTGGATGGATGAATGAAAATGAAATGTTATATTGGATTGAAAATGTTTGGATTAAACGTGCTGAAAGACTTTCTAATCCACAATCATTATTAGTTTTAGATTCATTTTCAGCACATATTGTTAATTCTGTTAAAAGGCGTTTTGGAGAAAAAAATACTAATATTGCTATTATTCCTGGAGGATTAACATCTCAATTACAACCTTTAGATGTTTCAATCAATAAATCATTTAAATCAAAGGTAAGATTTATTAATTTTATTAAATATTTTATTTTTATTTTATTTTTGTATTTAATTTTAATTATATTTATAAATTTATTTCTTATAGATGAGAAATAAATATAATGAATGGATGTCTGAATCTTTAAAAGAATTAACCTCTGCTGGTAGAATCAAATGACCATCTTATGAAACTGTTGTAGATTGGATTAATAGATCATGGAATGCAGTTGATATTAGTTTAATCCAAAGATCTTTTAAATGCTATAGCATTTCTAACAAACGTGATGGAACAGAAGATGATTGGATTTTTAATTATGAACATCTTGAACAAGCAAAATCAAATGATGAAGTAGAAATTTTAGATGATATTAATGAAGATGATAGAAGTAATGATATTAATGATAATCATTATGAGGAGGGAGATTATGATAATGAATGGATTTAAATAATAATCATGTATACTTAATAAATAATGACATTTAATATTGATAAAGTATAAAATATAATAATAAATTTTGATTTTTATGTTTAATATATTACAATCGATCAAATTGATCGACATCGTTGCGATAAATTTGATCGGCATCGTTGCGGTAAATTTGATCGACATGTTTATCAATTTAATTGGTTAATTTGAATAGTATCCGTTACTATTCAAGGGGGATATTTTGCAAAGGGGGTACTAATGTCAGCGCTATACGGTATATGACTGCTTTTAAGTCCGGAGCAGTGTAACGAAAGTAACCAATCACGTATCGACTCAATTTTTGAGCTGGCGGTCTTCCGGACTGAAAAATATCTTTATTATAAATAAAATTCTTAAGATAATTATTAAATTAATAACTTTAGTAAATTTTGTAACAAAAAACTTCAATCATAAAAAAAAACGGGGATGACAAATATAATAGAACATCAAAGGAAAATTTGCTAAATTTGATTTTCCTAATTAACATTAACTCATTAAATTTCAATATATAAAACGTGGATTCCACGAGATTCCACGAGGTGGGATTAAGGAGACGATTCATATAATTAACTTCTTTTTCCGTTTCTGTAGAAGTTCATGTATAATAATGTAATACAAATCACATGCGTTAGCAATCTGATGTTGAATCAAAGACTAAACGCGGAAAAACGCGTACTTTTATACTTGTAATAGTACGCGAATTTTTATATAAAAGGTTCTTTAAATACGGTCTATTCTAATTAAAGCTTATTTCATATTTCAAACTTTGGGATTTTCAAACGTACCGCTTAACAAATAAAATAAAAAAAATATTTTGTTGAACAATGGGTAAAACGAAAAGCGTAAATAAGCAAACAGTTTCGTCATTTTTTGCTTCGACTAAGGCTCGAACTGTAAATCATAAAGAAACTAAAGTACGTTCTTATAACCTTTTTTTTTTTTTTAAAAAAAAAAGAATAAAATAAAGTTATTATATTTGATTGTTTTATTTTTTTTTTTTAATAAAAATTCATTCTTGCTTTATAAAGCTTTTGGTGCCTTTGGCTCAAACTGTTTCGAGCAAAGTTCGGCAGACTTCAAAGGTAAAAACTGATGAATCAATTATTACTTTTTATTAATTATCTATAAAGTTGTTGTTTGCCCAAAGGGTATTATATTAAATTACTATTGATATACATTTTCATTTCAATTCAGTGTATATCTAAAGAAAACACACTTGCGAAACGCGCATCTACATTTAAACCGTCAAGTAGATCAGATACGGCACGTCGTCGCCGTGCATTGATTGAAAGGGTATGTATGAAGATGTAATAAAGAATTATTATATAAAAAAATATATAATTTTTTTTTTCTTAGGTTCGCGCAAAAGGACAAAAGACACTCGAAGAAACATTACAGGGTCTGGACCCTGTCAAAAAGAGACAAAAGACCATGCTGAGTCGGGCTCGGGAAATTGCAAACTCTATTTCCTTGTATCCTCTTGCTTTAAGAATGAGTAATTAAAATTTAATTAATGTAACATATGACCTTAACATATGTATAGTCTATATGTATCAAGGAACAAAACGGTCATGTTTGTGAGAGAAGTTGCAACAAGAATTGTAGAAAGTTCTGATGTGCCAATATCAGAGTGTATGTATAACTTAAACAATCTTATTAATGAAATATAAATCTATTAATGCAATTTTTTTTTTTTGTTTTAAACCTATAGACGAAGCAATAGAACATATTGAATTATTAACTAAAATTGCACCTAAGTGGTGTCAATTCTCTACTAGTAAAAATGAGGATGATCTCTTGACCATCGACTCTTCAGTGCCGGCTTGGAAGGTTCGTGAAATTATTGAGGAAGGAGTGAAAAATTTTCAATGAGCCATAATTAGCTTCTTTCGCACCAGAACAGGTAAGATGAGTCCGCGAAGATAATTTTTATAAAATTTTTAGCGGGCTATGTAGTAATATATGCACGAAACATAGTATAGTAAATTCTGGTAATTTAGCTACACAAATATAAAATAAAATATATAATATTCTCACTCTTTTTTTAAAAAAAAAAAAAATTTAAAAAAAAAACCAAATGAATTTGTCTAAGATAAAAAAAAAAATAAAGAGAAATTCTACAATTTTTAATGTCTACATACATGTTTCAAATCCTCCATTCCCCGAAAAATAAGAAATAAAAATAAGGTATAAACAATTTAAATAACAATAATTCTACTGGGTCGTTTAAATCAATATTCCAAGAAAAGAATAAGGAAATGAAAGATTTGGAGGGACATATTAGAAAGTGTATCTATCAAGGTAAAAGGGATATGCAAAAAAAAGAAAAAAGGAAGGGCGATAACCTTGTTCTCTTTTCAAATTTTACATCCAAAGAAATGATATACTATACAATAATGGATGTTTTTTATATACATATACGTATACGTATACACATATTCATATATATATATAAAATTATAAATCAAATAAAAAAAAATGAAATAAAAAAAATGAATTGCCTCAATTGCTTCTATTGATGAACATTACGTGTGATAGTCTCATAATTATCGCTATTACGTTTCAAGATATCGACAATAGGACCTAATAATCGGACAAAAGCTTTCTTGCCTAACGTAGCAACCTTTAATCGACCTTTTGCTGTTATATTTACGGCACGGGGTTTGTTGTTAAGTAAAGCAAGCTCTAGAAAAAAACAAAAAAAAAAAAATCTGTTAAAGATAATCACATATATATTGAATTTCGTTAATGTAATTATATAGATACCTCCAAAGTAATCTCCTTTTTTCAACCCAGGTAATTCATGTTCAATTCCTCCTTCATCAATTTTTGTTACGCGAGCTTCGCCAGATTCTATTAGGAAGAAATTATTACCAATGTCACCTTGTTTAATTACCAATTGACCATTTTCATAAATTGCGGACTCTAATGCATCAGCGATTTTATGCCTTTCATAAGGTTCTAATGACACTAGAATTGGAACTTCCTCGAGAAATGATTCATACATCTTACGTTTACGAGAAGTATTCTCCATTAAAATTCTTCTAAAAGTTACTCTATCAAGGGCCCAAAGTACAGAATCTGAGGTAGCAATCACAGTGGCCGCTCTAGGAGCATTATACATTAAAGCCAATTCACCAAAACTACCACCAGGGCCATAATTATGAACTTTCTCTTGAACACCATTTTTAGAAACATAAACATCAAATGTACCGGTTTCTACTACATAAAAAAAGTCACCAATTCCACCTTGTTTAATGATCGCTTCTTGATTTAAAACTCTTTTTTCAACCATAGCATCAATAACGTCTTTATATTGCTCTTCATCAAGGTTTTTAAATAAAAAGTTATTTTGAATAGAAGTTTCTATCCGCTCTTTCTGTTCCTGTGTTTTTGGAATAATAACTTTAACATAATCTTTGTCTTGACTAGGAGCCATTGATTCAGCGCTTACAGAAGTACGACGACCTCGATTATAATTTATTGGAATAGCAGGTAGTTCACTTGGTTCGTCATCATAAAGTTCTTCTTCACTGTCAGGAAAGTAATCTGTTGTAGGTGTACTCGCCATTGAAGTTCTTGCAGAATAAAAGTCCGGTTCTGGCTCTTTCATTTCAGTATCGGATAAGTCGGAATTACAATGTGAATGTTCCGATGGCGAAGCTTCACTCATAATAACTTCTGATTGCTCCATTGTGAAGTAAATATTTATATATATATATATTTTTAAAGGAATAAAATATCTTTAAAGATCTTTGAAATTAGAAGTATTGGATGTTACAAAGGAGTTTATAATAAAAATAAAAATAAAATAATAAAAATAATAAAAATTACTTATGCTGCTAAAAAAAAAAAAAATTATATATGGTGGAGTTTATTACGCCGTTCACGAAAACGAAAAAAAAATGATGGAAAATTAGTGCATTACAAACTTGGAAAGTAGTCCGAAAATCTAATAACTTCCAGCGGGCAAGAACCTTGTAATCTACGAGAAAAAGGTTAGTATGCGTTCACAATTCCGTAAAGAAAATAAAGCGTGGCACTTGCATGGCAAAATTTAGGGAGCTATTAACTTGCACTACACTGACTTTTTGCATTATTCTATCACTTGATCAAAAAAAAAATTAAACACATGGCGTTACTCAATTGTTTTATTTATTTTTTTTTAGGGAAAGAATTGTCAAATTATTTATTTATTTGACACAACATAATATAGATTTGAATTCTATATTGTTTTTTTATGTATTAAATTCAAGTTTATCCTTCATATAAAAAAAAAGTTTGTCCTTATAAAACGTTAAATAAATAAAAGGATCCCTGATTTTCTATAATATATAAATTTATAAATTGTTTTTTATATATATTTAAGAGACCAACAAATCATACGAATAACACATAATGCCGATTATTTTTAATTAAAACCATATTATTAAATCTTTTTCTCTTCGTGATAACACTTGATAACATGGAAATCGATGAACCAACCTCGTCTAATAATAATTCCAGCGATGGTGATGATGAATATGAAGAGGTAAACATTCGTAAAAAGATTCGTTCCAAATTCATCATTATCTTAATAAATTTGAATTGATAGGTTTCTTATATAGTAGTTGACCTCGGTACTGAAGCAACATTAGACATGATAACAAATAATTTCGAAATCTTGAACAATATAAATCCTTCTTCGTTCAATTTCAATCAAAATCGTCATCATCAAAATCAAGATTCCTCATCACATACCGATAATAAAATCAATAATCCTACTGTTTCGACTCCTTCAACAACCATTCACGAAAAAGAAGTTGAGAACTCTAATTCTATTAATACAAATGAAAATAATGATATTGATTATTCATTAATTGTAAGAATAATTAATATATATATATATATATATTCACACAAGTTGGGAGCTTTTTTTATGATATTAGGCAAATATGTGAAATTCGTTCTTTCTTTAATGCTTTGAATTTTATTATATTCACACAGGGTTTAGATACAGATACACCTTATTTACGTATAGGTGGTATACATTTTAAAGGTGATTATGATGAAACTATTGGAACTGATTTAATATTTTTTCCAGAACCAGGTAATGTTAAAAACATATTCTATCAAATGATTTCAATTCATTATAATTTTAAACTTCTCTTTGTTATTATTATATATCAAAGATCCAATGAATTCAAGGCAACAAAAACTTACATATCAATGCCTTACAACAAAAAAGATAAAATTCTCTCAAGTGAATTTACAAGAGATTGATTTAAATACGACGAATGAATTAAATATTGAAGATGATGATAATGAGTGGGAAGATAATTATTCATTAAATAACAAAAATCATAATTTTCAAGATTTATTTAATATTAAGAGTGATATTGAAGATGATGATGAGGAGGAGGACGATAGTAATGAAAGTAATAGTCAAAAAGAAAGCATTTCTTCTGCTTTGGATAAAGGAAAAGGAAGAGAGGAATGGGATGAAATGGAAACGGAAGATTGAGGTAATCACGAATTTCTAAAATCATTGAACAGTCTGACATAGATTGCATACTGATCCATTTAATAAATGTTACAAGGGATTTTATGTAAATGTACAAATAAGTAAACCAATTAAATTAATAAATTATCTTTCCCAAACAAAATGATTAATCAAATTATCATAATATCTAATTCCCTCAATACTTTCATCTCTGCAAATAAGCCCTTTGGCTTCCACCATCTGTTTTAAATCAATTTTTTTAAAAAAAAAGTTGCAATTAAAATAAGGAAAAAATAATAAAGAAGTTATTTACATTATAACTTACCTGCAATTGTTCATTTACCAAGACTACACTCTTCTGCTCTATTGAAGCCAATTCAATGCCACTTAATGATCCTCTTAACTTAATATATTCTAAAATACGCTGTGCTATTTGATCATCACTATGGGTCAGTAAAGTTCTCATTAAGAATAAAATATTTCAAATATAATATATATATATAGATATAGATATCATTGACAAAAGGATATCTGACTGAACAACCAATAACCCACTTTCGTATTTTCTCAATCTTAATGGTAAATTTAATCTTTCGAATAAAGAACAAGCTTTATATAAATCGTTAGGAGATATCAATGCTATTAAATATGCAATAGGAAATCAATAATGATAGAAATATTTGTATAATGATTTTTGATTTATGCTTACCAACTCCCCTAGCCCTATTAAATATGCAATAAATGTCCGTTAAAGACATCATCCCGTTATCCTTATCCAACGTATTTTCCAAGAATTCTGCGAGTTCTCTTGCTAATTCTTTATGGTATATTGAACCGGCTTCATCTCTAAAAAGAAAATTTGAAATTGAAATTCTCTTTATAAACCTAAAGGAAAAAAAGAAAAAAAAATTTTTTTTATTAACCATACTTTGTTACGGGATTCGAAATACCAAGTTTAAACAAATTGGTTTTAAAAGTAGAGACTTCTTCTGATTCCGCCGATTCCTTATTCAATCCATTAATAATTGATTGAGCAAGATTAACCTAAACCAATAAATAAATAAAGTAAATAAAAATATGTAAAACTTATTTTATTAAACAACAATGATGATAAATGCTTTTCTATGAAAAAAAATATAGTATACCATTTTTTCTGTTATCGTTTTTAATGATTCTAAATCCTTGAATGCTTGATTTAAATATTCGTCCTGTTCCTTCTTATTCTCTTCAGCATTACGCATTATACCACCTAAATAAAAAGAGAAATTTTTATTAATTTTGACACGAGAATATAAAAAAAAGTTAATATTGAATAAAATGTTTTATTTACTAATTCCTCCACGAACGGGGTCAAAATCTATAGGAGATTTAGAAGGTTCTATCGTTTTCTAAATAAAAAGAACATTCTTAAGTTGAGCTGAATTAAATTAAAAAAAAAGCCAGTATAATTATACCTCACCTCCCATTCTTTCATAGTTATTGCTTGTTTCATTTTATCATAAAAAGTGCCAGCGCCTCCATTACGAAAGGCTAACCTAATAAAATCATCTTTACTTTTACCGCCAACTCTGCTTCCTAATATTTCTTCTTCATTAATCTTAATATTAGTTCCTAATTCAGCGTCACATATCTCACATATGACCATATCTGGATGATTTAAAAACGTGCATTGTGGACATTCTATACCAGTATCACCTTGAGTTTTTTTAATTGGTGAAGTTTGATTTGTTGTTATTTGTTGTTGTGAGGAAGCAGAAGTATTAGATAAAGATGAAGCAGGTGGGGGCGTAATTGAGGCGAGATTCTCGGTCTTTTTCACACCACAAAGTTGACATTTAAAAATTTGTGGTGTATTGGAATAAGAACAAATTGGACATATCCAAGTAGAAGATGCACTTGATAATGTAGAAGTAGAAGAATCATTAAGTTGATGATAAAATGGTGATGAATTATTATTATTGGATTCTGAAAATTTTAAAGTTATTTTTGGCGAAGATTTGACAAATCCTGTCTATGTATTCCGGATGTAATTAAAAAATTTATTGTAAAGTGTGTTAAGAACTTTTTTATTAATGAAAAAAAAGAAATAACAAAAATTTCCTTACGTAAAATTCTCTACCCTTTATAAATCTAATTTCAACTCCGATAGAATTGGTATTTGGTTGTTCGGAATCAACATAAATAATCCTGTGTGAGGTTAAATACACTTTTCCATTCATATATCCAGCTGCTTTTTCGTTTCTATAGAGTCGATTCATAACAAATTAGAAAAGAATTAATTAATATATTAAATTATATAAATATTAAATACCCATCATAAAGTCCAACATTATCTTGTATTGCAAGAATCGTTTCTCCTTCATTCAAGACAGGTCTTAAAGTAGAAGTTAATTCTACGCGTGAAAAACGATCCATCATCACAAGCTATCAGATTTTCAGATGAAAAAAAATTATATATATATATCACTTAGTTATACAAAACGGAATGCATCAATTATCACATCCTATTATAACATATAGAAAGAGGAAAGCATTTATAATATGCAAATAAAAATAAACGTGAACGGTTTATGTGTATTTTTTGTGTTACGGCGGAAAAATTCAATTTGTATAAAAATGCAGATCGATGTACCAGAACCAAAGCATAGTATATATTATATAATTTTTTTTTTTACCTTTTTTTATTTAAAATAAAATTAAAAGTCTTTATTTTATTTTCATTTTGTTTTACATCTCGAATTAAAGAATCATAAAAATGATTTTTTTTTTAAATGAATTAAGGAATTCGTCTTACCTAAACTTTAAGACCCTAGCATCATCATGTATTTCTCTTCGATCTAATCAGTTTTTAAGATATTTTCCAAAATAAAGTAGAGAATTATAACGTTCTTATAATAGAATGATACTATCAATATACTCACAAGGACTGGTTTTGCATCTCCATGAAATATGTTTTTTTTTTGCTGACCTTTTAATTAGCCATATATAATACTACACCAGAATAGTATTAAATATCTGTTCAAAGGAAAATATTTAAAGGGTGAATTTTTTTTAAAAAAAAATTGTTTATTTAAAAAAATCGCAGGGTGAAAGTACGTGCATTGTATGTTTGATTTCCTAACTTTGAAATAATACAAAAAAAAACAGATAAACGAAATTAGCAAAAAGTAATATATAGTCGAACAAAGGATATAATGCGTATCTGTAAAAGGCATGAACAAATTAATAAAAAAAAAAGCTCTCAGCCCTTTTTAACTGAACCCAAGACCTAAATTAAAAAAAAATGGGAGAATCATAGGGGTGTATATATAATAAAATTAGCTATTGTTGAAGTTTACATAGCAAAAAAAAATAAAATAAAATAAAAATAAAAAAAAGATAAAACAGGAAAAGAAACTGATTAATCAGTTCATCTAAATTAAAAAAATGGGGATGTCAGCATATATGCACAAGAAGAAGGTGTAATAAAAAAGGGATTAGGTAAAAAAAAATATTTCACAGTAGGCCTAGGGTCCGGGAAATTCGAGATAAAGAGCAGAATTTAAGTTTTAATTGTTGTATGTAGAGCAAACATTATGTTCATCAATTGACATCAGTGAGGAGCTGCTTTTCCAGAATATATTTTCCCTCCTTATAACGTTGACTCTGCTCGTACGCTCTCTCCTATATAAAGAGGAATTGAATTAATAATGTATAATAGGAATGTGTGAATCAACAACCAAACAAAAATCATTGGTATATGAAATGAAAAATTAAAGAATAATGCATACATATTTCCATCCCAGTACGGATCGACAGCGGGAGCAATGTATATCCTTAACGGTATGCAGGCCAGTAGTCATGTGGCGGTCTTCAGAAGGCCCCTCCTCCACATTAACCCTTCAAAAAAAAAAAGTTTGAGTATAAATTAGTTATGAAGTTGCTACAACATACTTTAACTAATGGGGAACTCACACAGTATCAAAGAGATAAGCACGTCCATGTTGACCTTGGAATGCCTATGACGAAATAAAGATTAAAGTTACTTCAAAATTCTCTTAAAAATGCGGAAATTACCTAAGTAGTGTTTACTAATACTAGAACATGAAAAAAACCTTTGAAATAATGCTATCAGTTGTAGAAAGGTGTGTTCGACATTTATTGCATCCGAAAATGCGGTTACCGTTCAAATAAGTACGATAAGTTAAACCCATTTCTTAATGAACTTATTTTAGTCGTAATAAAAGATCCTTGCTTTTTATTTTTATTGACTTTTTTTTTAAAAAAAGAAAAACAGTATAGAGGCAGTAAAGGGATGAGGGGGAAATACAAGACAAGATATTTTTCTTCTACACGCTCCTTAAAACTAATGTCTTATTGCATTTGAAGGGTAAAAATAAATGGAAAGGAGCTGCAGGACAGGTGAGTCGCTTTTTTAAAGACTATGATATATATTAAACAAAATGATATAATCAAAGAAGTATCCGATAATGACAAGTCACACATGCACAAGTATTTATGCCAAACCTATTTTTCCTTTGCTATGTTTAATTCGATTATTTTTGGTGTTTCTTTATCAAAATATATCTCGAAAATCGAGTACCTTATTATTTATAAAAAACCAGTCAACCCTTAGTCAATCTTTCCCAATCTGAGAGATAATATAGAAATCACTTTACATCATGATCACATGAAATCATCAGAGAAAAAATTAAATTATTAATGATTAATCCATCCAATCCAGTTCTTCTGATCTTTATATATTTATTAAACATTTCGAAGTTTGTGAATTTAGTTTATATAATGGTGTTAATTTAACTCTCATATTATAGGGAAGAGCATAAGTTTGTGATACATGATGGGTTGTCCTACTAAAACTTGCTTTACCTGTTATATAATGGCGCATGATGTTAATCGCGAATTTTTTTTGAACCTTTTGACCGAAACCTGAATGTTTCGCGTTTCATTTATAATGATCAGCTGATTAGTGATCTTATTTTTGGAGGAGTGTATAATGCAGGGGCAAATAATAACTATCGCACCAGTATTTCCCAACCTTTGCAAAGAACAATTTACTCAATGTTACACGAATCTTATACATCACCCTTATAGAGTTACACTTAACTTCCCAAATGGCATTTTTTTTTGATTGAATATAGAATTTTGTTAACTTTAATTTTAAACTAACTTTTTTTGTAAATAAGTGTATTGTTAAAAATAAAAAAATTTAACTATTCAGATACATTTAATTTAAAATTTATTTAAAATAAATAATTTAATTAATATTTACCATTATTTAATCTATAATTATTTATAGTAAATTATAAATCTTATTATTAAAAAATAAAAAATAAATAAATACTATTATAATTTAAAAATAAATAAAGTAAAAAATAATTATGATAAAATAATTCATATTTTTATTTATTCATAAATTTATTAGTATTATATAATAAACCTTTATTAATATTAGTTTCTTTTTTATAAATTTTTAATATTTTTAATTATAACTTTTCTAAAGAAATTTATAATAAAATTTTTTATTATATTATATTAATAATAAATTTTATTTAAAAGAGTAGTAATGTTTTATAAATTCTAATCTTTACCTACAATTTTAATTTAAGATTTTTACTTTTTTAGATTATTTATTAATATAATAATTTTTTTATAATTAATATAATAACTATAACTTTTATAATTTTTATATATTAAATTTATATATAAATTTATATAAACTTATACTTAAAAATTTTTTAAATAAACAAATAACATTTATTTTGTATTAAATAAATATACTTTAATATTATAATAAAAAAATAAAAATTATTTTTATTATCAATAATATAATAAATAAACTTCCTAACAAAATATTCATATGAATATTATATTATATTTATTATAATATAATTAAGTGATTAATTATCATACATATCATTTTTATAATTTTTATATATTTTTTTTTTTTATATTTTCTTTAACAATAATAAGCAAAATTAAATAGTTTATAAAATATAAATGTATAATAATTATTAGTTTTATCAACTAGCTGTATCTGAAAAAGTGTAGTCTTCTCCGTAATTATATTATATAAAAATGGGAGAAGGCTACACTTTCTAGGTATGTACTCGGTATGGTATATCATTCATATAATATAGAGGTATACCAAAAAGAGATACGAAGTTGGCACCTCCAATTCTCTAACCAACTGATTCACTAACCCAAACCCAAATATTACTCAAATATTTCTCAAATATATCTGACACATTTTTTTCAGTGAATGCAAAAAGAAATGATAGCAAACTTAGTTAACAAATTGTAAAAGGAAAACAAGCAAATATGTATCCAGAAGATAAATCTTCTGCAGAATTATATTATATAAAAATGGCAGAAGACTTATATGTATTGAGGGTAGGTAACTTCAGTATCTATATATAAAATAATGAAACTTGCCTACCCTAATACTAGTATGAAATCGGGTATATGTATGACAAACTTAATAAGCAAATTGTAGAAGAAAAGCATTCAGTTGTATCTGAAAATGAAGTAAACTCCATAATTATATTATATAAAAATGGGAGAAATCTTTATCTGAATTTAATGAACAAATCGCAAAAGAAGGCAAAAATATATGTATCTGAAAGTGAAGCCTTCTTTGTAATCTATATATAAAAAATTGAAAGAAGGCTTCACTTTTCTAGATATGTATTTAGCTATGATATAGCCTTCGTATAAGTCTTATTCGATTAATGTCAGCTAACACTATTTCATAATTTCAGCCAGAACTTTAGGTGTAATAACTTGGCATCCAAGCTGGTATATAAGTGAACTGAAACTGGAGAACTAATAGAACATCTCTAGCTTCCCTCCAGTTCTATGACAGTTTCAGGAAAGTTTCATAATACCATCAAGATGCTATCATGACATTATCATGACATCAAATTGGATGCTTAAATCACATGTACAAAAGATCAGCCAGAGTTATACCATAGAGCTGGGCAAAATTAATCGCAAATTTACTGTACCACTGTTACCTCTTTTTTTACATAATTTCAGCATCTAGAAAGACAACCAAAAAGGCGCAAAGGGTAAGCAACTCAATATAAAATCTAGCACTCAATCAAGCACAGAAGGCTAGCACCCTCAACATAAAACTAGGTATCCAAAAAGCTACAGAAAACTAACAACTACAATATAGAATTAGATCTGCAAAAGACTCAGAAATAAGAAGAAAAGCATGGTATTTAGATTTCATAGTAGTAATTAGATTAAATGGTGGAGTAGTAGTTAGATTATATGATGGTAATAATATGAATATCAGGAGGGTTGAAATGAATAGCTAGAATATAAAATAGATATCTGACACAAAAAAAACAAATAGATTATATTATTCAGATTATATAGTGATAGTTAGATTATATCTTTTAGATTATATA